CTCACCTCAACTGTTGTGTTCTGAACCCCACTAACCTGTCTCAACTCTACTGTTGGGTTCTGAACCCCACTCACCCGTCTATCCCCTGCAGTTGGGTTCTGAACCCCACTCACCCATCTCATACCTACAGTTGGGTTCTGAACCCCACTCACCCATCTCACCTCTTCAATTGGGTTATGAGCCCCACTCACCGTCTGACCTCTACAGTTGGATTCTGAACCCCACTCACCTCTCACACCTCTCCAATTGGGTTATGAACCCCACTAACCCGTCTCACCTCTACAATTTCGATCCGAACCCCACTCACCCGTCTCACCTCTACAGTTGGGTTCTGAACCCCACTCACCAGTCTCGCCTCTCCAGTTGGGTTCTGAACCCCACTTTCCTGTCTCACCTCAATAGTTGGGTTCTGAACCCCACTCACTCGCCTCATCTCTTCAGTTGGGTTCTGAAACCCACTAATCCATCTCACTCCTACTGTTATCTTCTGAACTTCACTCACCCGTCTCACCTCTACAGTTGGGTTCTGAACCCCAATAACCCGTCTCACCTCTACTGTTGGGTTCTGAACCACACTCACCCGTCTTACCTCAACAGTTGGGTTCATAAGCCCACTAACCAATCTGACCTCTGACGCTGGGTTCTGAAACCCCAATAACCCATCTCTCCTCTACGATTGGATTCTGAATGACACTCACGTGTCTCACCTTTACAGTTGAGTTCTGAACCCCATACACCTGTCTCAGCTCTATCGTTGGGTCTTGAACCCCACTCACCTGTCTCACCTCTGATATTGGATTCTGAACCCCACTCACCCGTCTTTCCTCTGCAGTTGAGTTCTGAACCCCACTCACTCGTCTCACTCTCGCGTTGGGTTCTGAACCCCACTCAGCCGTCTCACCTCAACAGTTGGGCTCTCAACCCCACTCACCCGTCTCACCTCTGTAGTTGGGTTTTGAAACCCACTCACTCATCTCACCTCCGCACTTAAAGTTGGAACCCCCCCCCCTCTCGTCTCATCTTAACATTTGGGTTCTGAACCCCATTCACCCGTCTCACCGCAACAATTGGGTTCGGAACTCCACTTACCTGTCTTACGTCTACAGTATGGTTCTGAACCACACTCACCTCCCCCACCTCTATAGTTGAGTTCTGAACCCAACTCACCCATCTCACCTCTACAGTGGGATTGTGAACCCCACTCATCCGTTTCACCTCTGCAGTTGGATTCTCTACCCCACTAACCCGTCTCACCTCTACAGTTGGGTTTTGAACCCCACTCAACCGTCTCACCTCTACAGGTGGGTTCGAAACACCACTCTCCCGTGTCACCTCAATAGTTGGGTTCTGAACCCCACTCACCCGTCTCACCTTTCCAGTTGGGTCCTGAACCCCACTCACCCGTTGCACCTCTGCAGTTGGGTTGTGAACCCCACTCACCCGTCTCACATCTACAGTTGGGTTCTGAACCCCAATCACCCGTCTCACCTCTACATTTGGGTTCTGAACCCCACTCACACGTGCCACCTCTACAGTTGGGCTCTAAACCCCACTCACCGTTCTCACCTCTCCATTTGGGTTCTGAACCCCACTAACTCGTCTCACCTCTACAGCTGGGCTCTAAACCCCTTTCACCCGTATCACCTCAATAGTTGGGATCTGAACCCCACTAACCCGTCTCACCTCTACTGTTTGCTTTTGAACCCCACTCACCCATCCCACCTATCCAGCTGGGTCCTGAACCCCACTCACTCATCTCACCTCTCCAGTTGGGTCCTGAACCCCACTCACCCGTCTCACCTCTCCAATTGAATTCTGGACCCCACTCACCTCTCTCACCTCTGTTGTTACGATTTAAACCCCACTCACTCGTCTCACCCCTGCTGTTGGGTTCTGAAACCCACTAACCCGTCTCACCCCTTCAGTTATCTTCTAAACCTCACTCACCCATCTCACCTTTACAGTTGGGTTTTGAGCCCCACTCACTGTTCTCACCTATGGAGTTGGGTTTTTGAACACGTCTCACCCCTACAGTTGGGTTGTGAACCCCACTCACCTGTCTCACCTCAGTAGTTGGGTCGTGAACCCCACTAACCCGTCTCACCTCTACAGTTGGGTTCTGAACCCCACTCACCCGTCTCACCTCTAGAGTTGGGTTCAGAACCCCACTCACCTGTCTCACCTCTATAGTTGGGTTCTGAACCCCACTCACCCATCTCACCTCTATAGTTGGGTTATGAACCCCACTAACCCGCCTCACCTCTACAATTGGGTTCTGAACCCCACTCACCCGTCTCACTTCTGCAGTTGGGTTCTGAACCCCACTCACCCGTCTCACCTCTGCAGTTGGGTTCTGAACCCCAATCACCCGTCGCACCTCTGCAGTTGGGTTTTGAACCCCACTCGTCTCACCTCTGTAGTTGGGTTATGAACCCCACTTACCCGCCTTATCTCTGCAGTTGGAATCTGAACCCCAATCACCCGTCGCACCTCTTCAGTTGGATTTTGAACCCCACTCACTCGTCTCACCTATGTAGTTGTGTTTTGAACACCACTCACCCGTCTCACCCCTACAGTTGGTTTCTGAACCCCACTCACCCATCTCACCTCTACAGTTTGGTTCTGAACCCCAATCACCCGTCCCACCTCTGTTGTGTGATGTCATCATATGCTATCACATTCTGTCTGCCTCCCATCCCATGTTTTTTCAACTTGCATGTGTGGTTTGAATGTGCAAGCATTTGTGTGTGGTGTGTTCTGGAGTTTGGGAATGTGTTTTGTGTTATTCTGTCTGAGCAGGTATTTGTGATAATAGATCTTGAGAAGATCTTTCCGACGCAACAAGAATCGCTTCAATCGGAGCAAGAACGCGAAAGCTATGAAGATTCAAAGTTCATGAGCTTGCGTTACAATTGCGGCGGTTACTAAGTGAAGTTGTGGGGTGACTTTATATGGAGTTGGGACCTTTGGGGTTGGGGAAACTTGTCACTCTACTGTAACAGCTGCAAATTGGTTGGGAACAACCAAGCTAGGTTGGCAAGGGTGGCCAACTTGGATGGATTGGTTGGGAAGGGACAAATGTCAAAGTTGGGGTTCCTATAGGGAGGGAATCTTTGTGCTTATGGGGTTTCCTTGGTTGGGGACTCTCTTGGGACCTTCCCTCTCATCCCTCTCTTCCTATCCCAACCTTTCTCTTGCTCCTTCTAATTCCTTGTGAGATTCTTGAACTTTGATTGAACTCTTGAGATTGAGTTAAGTTCTCCTCCTACAGCTTACCCCCTAGTGCGTCGAAAGCCATAGCGTCGCGAATACTTCATCAATCAACGTGATTCAAATTGGGAACGGTAGCTGAGATCAAGAGCTACAACATATCCAAGTTTCGCGACATTCCAACGGCTAGTGTTTTGTCGACGTCGTTTCTTGTGAAGACGACTTTTCTGTCCAGAATTTCGGATTTATATTTTGAGTAATTCTAGCTCCTAAGTTCACCTAGACTCTGTCCTTAATCCTAACAAGTGGTATCAGAGCGATATTAAGGACATTGAGAGGAGTCTACAGAAGTGTGAAGACCCTTCTAGACCCACCATGGCCTGTGGGTGTGCCTAAGTGGTGTTCTAAAGGTTGGATGTGTCTTCCGCTAAGGGGAAACTCTGCCGAAATTTCGTGGACGCCGACACTTGTGAAAATATCGAGGGAGCTGAGTGTGGACAGCAAAGGGGAGCTGAAATTCGTCATTTCTCAAGGAGAAGATGAATGAGAGAGGAGGAGATGCTAATGGAAGAGGAGCTGTAGCTGAGAAGACAAGTGAGCCGCCGCCATCAAAAGTTGAAGCTTTGGATGGCTCCAACTATGAGGAATGGAGCGGACGGATGAGGAGTGCCTTCAAACGCTACAAGCTCCTGAAGATTGCTGTTGGGGAAGAGAAGATGCCGGAAGAAGGCGAAGCACGTGAACGGTGGATTGAGAAAAGCGCGGTGCTTTTCGACCTCATTCTTCAATCGGTCAACAAGGAGATGTTCGAGCACATCAAGGATCTTGTGGAAGCGGATGATTCGGGTCCAAGGGCGTGGAAACTACTACGTGATGTGGTTCAGCCCAACACTCTCCCGATGGTGATCGTGCTCGAGAAGGAACTTGCTGCCATCTCCATGCGACCAGGGGACGATGTGAAGCCGGTCCTTGACAAGATCAAGGACACCTATGCAAGGATGGCAGCAGCGGGCAGCAGTGTATCTCAGCTGCAGCAGTGCACCAAGATCATCTCGGTGTTGGACAACTCTTGGGACAACCTCATCCCCACCCTCAACTCTCAGCAAGATCAATGGACACCTGAGTGGCTAAGGCAGCAGATTCTGCAGGAGGACTTCCGCAGACGCCATGTGGGAGGCGGTGCTGCCACTAAGACTGCTGAGGGGTATGGAGCTGCAGGGCGCAGCAGAGGAAGAGGGGGTTGGAAAGGCCGAGGCCGTGGGAGGAGCTTTGGCAGAGGTAGAGGCCGAGGTGACTATAATGAGGGGCATGGGAGCTCTAGTGGCAGGGGGAGTACCAGAATGGAGGGCACGTGCTGGTACTGCAAGAAGGTTGGGCATCCTTGGTTCAAGTGCTTCAGCAGGCTGGAGGGATGGGCACCTCCAGGCATGAAGCCGCCCAGTGGTGAACGCGCACAAGGTGGCGCTGTGCAAGGCTCAGGTGCACAAGGTGAAGGTGCACAAGGTAATGCCTATCCTGGTTTGTTTGTTATGGTTGAGGATGTGCATGGGCATGAGGGTGATGTGGGATCTGTGGGAAAGGTTGTGATGCACCCTCTCACGCACTGGGTGATTGATTCGGGTTGCACCAGTCACATGACTCCACGGGCAGATTTGCTTGATGAGGTAAAACCCCCTGGGAAGATTAAGTATGTGGCAGCAGCGTCAGGTGCTTTGCTCCCCGTGATTGGTGTTGGGAATGCCAAGGTTAAGGGAGCTAATGGGGAGCTTGTGGGGCTTGGGAATGTTCTGCTGGTTAAAGGCTTGTCTGCTAACCTTCTCTCTGTGCGGCGGCTGCAGAAGAGTAAGGCCGAAGTGACCTTTGGACCAACCAGCTGCCGTGCTAAGCTTGGGAAGAAGGTGCTGTGGAGTCTGGAAGAGGAGACCAGCTGCATCAAGGACCTGTGGCAGCTGCCCATCATCCCTTGGAATGGGAAGACTCCAACAGCAGCAACGGCAGCAGTGGCAAAGGCAACAGCAGGAGGAGATGCAACTGCACCAACTGATGGGGTCCTGGAAGCAGTCAAGAAAGTGCAGAAGCAGCAGACACATGGTGAGGTGCTTGCTGGTGTGGATGCGAGTGCGGCATGGGCTAAGGCTTCACCAAGGAGTGGAGAGGCCGATTGGGAGACATGGCATGAGAGGCTGTGTCATGTGAACTTCCCTATGCTGCAGAAGTTGGTGAAGGATGGGAGCCTGAAGGGCTTGGAGGTGAAAGGGGGAGTGAAGGAGATTGGGAGCTGCCCTACATGCTTGGAGACCAAGTTCTCCAAGTTCCCCTTCAACAGCACTACAGGACCAGCCAAGACCCCACTTGCACTTGTGCACATGGATGTGGTGGGGCCCACAAGAGCCCCTTCCCTCTCAGGCAGCCGCTATTTCTTGACAATTGTGGATGACCACACTTGGGCAGTGTGGGTTTACCCTTTGAAGAGCAAGGGGGAGGTGGCAGCGGCTGTCCTTAAGGAGTGGATGCCGAGAGCTCAGAGGGAATGCGGACACAAGGTGAAGGTGATCCGTAGTGACAATGGTGGGGAGTTCATTGGAGCTGATTTTGAGGGGGAGTTGAAGAGGAAGGGGATCCAGCATCAACTGACAGTGCCCTACAACCCACAGCAGAATGGCGTGGCTGAGAGGTTCAACAGGACCCTGCAGGAGGGGGCACGCACTCTCCTTGGGCGTGCAGGGCTGCCTGATCCGTTTTGGGTGTCTGCACTGAGGCAGGTCGCCCTTGTGAAGAACAGGGTGCTGGCTACAGTTGGAGATAAGGAGTGGATCCCATACGTCAAGTGGTATGGGAGTGCTCCAGCTGTGAACATGCTGAGGGCATTTGGGTGCATGGTGGTGTTTCATGTGCCTAAGGAGAAAAGGGGGAAGTTGGAGGCTTCTGGAAGATGGGGTGTGCACTTGGGGATTGCAAAGGATCACAAGGGGTGGCTGCTATGGGACTTGACCACCCAGAAGTTGACAGTGTCAAGGGATGTGAAGTTTCTTGAGTCCCTGTACTACAAGGAATGGAAGCAGCAGCAACAGAAGCTTCCATCTACACCGCTCATTGTGGAGGCAGATGAGGTGCAGCACCCTTCAAGACAGGTGGAGGTTGCAGTGTCAGAGGAGGAGATGTCTGGGGTGACTGAGGAAGGGGGAGCAGCTGAAGTAGAGCAGCAGCAGCAGCAGCATGAGTCTCCACCTCGAGTTCCACACCCGCCTGAGCGTCCTAGGAGGGATGTGCGCCCTCCAGTGAGGCTGACCTATGGGGGAAGAGGCAAGCCGAATGTGGTGCAGGCTGGGAGTGTGGTTGAGCAGATTGAGGAAGATGAGATCGCTCACTGCTACTGGGCACCAATCCCTGAGCCCAAGACTCGAGAAGAGGCCTTGAATGGACCAAATGGGGAGAAGTGGAAGGCGAGTGAGGATGAGGAGTTCGGGTCCCTAATTGAGAACGAGACATGGGACCTGTGTGACTTGCCTCCTGGAAAGAAGGCAATCACTTCCAAGATGATCTACAGGCACAAGTATGGACCTGAAGGGGAGCTGACCCGCTACAAGTCTAGGCTTGTGGCACGGGGGTTTCAGCAGACAAAGGGGAAGGACTATGATGAGGTGTTTGCTCCTGTGGGGAAAGGAACAACATTGAGGGTGCTGTTGGCGATAGCTGCACTCCTGGGATGGAAGATTCGGCAGATGGACATTGTGACTGCCTTTCTGAATGGGATCATTCTGGAGGAGGTGTACATGAAGCAGCCAGAGGGGCTGGATGATGGGAGCGGCAGGGTCTGCAGGCTGAAGAAGGCCATCTATGGCCTTAAGCAGGCGCCTCGTGCATGGTATCACAAGTTGGAGGAGGCGCTGCTGGCTGGGGGTTTCAAGAAGAGTGAGTGTGACCCCAGCCTGTTCCTGCTGCAGGAGAAGGACGAAATCCTCATGCTCTTGGTGTATGTGGATGATATCCTTCTTTTTTCTGCATCAACTGCTTTGCTGGACAGCGCAGAGCAGATGCTGGAGATGCAGTTCAAGTGCTCCAAGATGGGTGAGGTGAAGTACTACTTGGGGATGCACGTGGAGAGAGATGTGGAAAAGGGTGTGCTGAGGTTGCACCAGAGGAAGTACTGTGAGGGGCTGGCTGAGAAGTATGGGCTGCAAGATGGGGGAAAGCCAGCAACACCACTACCTTCAGGGTTTACTGTGGAGCCATGTGCTGATGAGGAGGTAGTGGGTGATAGTGACAGGAAGCTGTTTCATTCGATGGTTGGGTCGCTGAATTATGCTGCAAATCATACACGGCCTGACATTGCATTTGCTACATCACGATTGGCTAGTGTGGTCTCACGCCCTAGTCATGAGCAGCTGGAAGCGGCCAAGAGGTTGGTCCGCTATGTGAGCGCTACGGCATCAGTGGGATTGGAGTACAGTGGAGTGAGGCAGCGGTTGCAGAGAGGTGCTGCAGATGTGAAGAGTGGAGAGATGCTCTTGAGTTGCTATACTGACGCTAGCTTCAACTCAGTGAAAGCGGATGGCACCAGCATTGGGGGTTATGTGTGCTTGCTAGGAGGTGGTGCTGTGAGCTGGCGCAGCAAGAAGCAGAATGAGGTGGGATTGTCCTCATGTGAGACTGAGTACATGGCCTTACACCATGGGGCCAAGGAAGTAGTGTGGCTAAGGCGTTTGTTGGAGGAGTTGGGAGTTGGTCAGGAGAAGCCGACAGTTGTGTTTTGTGACAATGAGTCCGCTGTGAAGCTCGCCAAGAATGCTTGTCTGCATGGGCTGACAAAACACATAAGGCCTAAGTGGCATTGGGTGAGGAGACTCCTTGATAAGGAGGTGCGGCTGGAGATAGTGAAGACCCATCAGCAGGCAGCAGATATTTTCACTAAGCGTCTGGCGGAGGCGGATCATTGGAAGGGCATGAAGCTTGCTGGGATGAGTGTGCATTGAGTATGCATGCTTGAGATGTGGTATGGTCGATGATGGTTGGCAGCCAGAGGGGGAGATTGTTGTGTGATGTCATCATATGCTATCACATTCTGTCTGCCTCCCATCCCATGTTTTTTCAACTTGCATGTGTGGTTTGAATGTGCAAGCATTTGTGTGTGGTGTGTTCTGGAGTTTGGGAATGTGTTTTGTGTTATTCTGTCTGAGCAGGTATTTGTGATAATAGATCTTGAGAAGATCTTTCCGACGCAACAAGAATCGCTTCAATCGGAGCAAGAACGCGAAAGCTATGAAGATTCAAAGTTCATGAGCTTGCGTTACAATTGCGGCGGTTACTAAGTGAAGTTGTGGGGTGACTTTATATGGAGTTGGGACCTTTGGGGTTGGGGAAACTTGTCACTCTACTGTAACAGCTGCAAATTGGTTGGGAACAACCAAGCTAGGTTGGCAAGGGTGGCCAACTTGGATGGATTGGTTGGGAAGGGACAAATGTCAAAGTTGGGGTTCCTATAGGGAGGGAATCTTTGTGCTTATGGGGTTTCCTTGGTTGGGGACTCTCTTGGGACCTTCCCTCTCATCCCTCTCTTCCTATCCCAACCTTTCTCTTGCTCCTTCTAATTCCTTGTGAGATTCTTGAACTTTGATTGAACTCTTGAGATTGAGTTAAGTTCTCCTCCTACAGCTTACCCCCTAGTGCGTCGAAAGCCATAGCGTCGCGAATACTTCATCAATCAACGTGATTCAAATTGGGAACGGTAGCTGAGATCAAGAGCTACAACATATCCAAGTTTCGCGACATTCCAACGGCTAGTGTTTTGTCGACGTCGTTTCTTGTGAAGACGACTTTTCTGTCCAGAATTTCGGATTTATATTTTGAGTAATTCTAGCTCCTAAGTTCACCTAGACTCTGTCCTTAATCCTAACAACCTCTACATTTGGGTTCTGAATCCCACTCACCTGTATCACCTCTTCAGTTGGGTTCTAAACCCCACTTGCTCGTCTCACCTCAATAGTTAGGTCCTGAACCCCACTCACCCAACTCACCTCTGCAGTTGGGTTCTGAACCCCACTCACCCGTCTCACCTATGCTGTTGGGTTCTAAACCCCAATCACCCGTCGCACCTCTGCAGTTGGGTTTTGAACCCCACTCGTCTCACCTCTCACCTCGTTTGCACGCATGATAAGTGTATGGGCTGAAGAGCATGCTGGCCTCTGCTCGGATGCAAAACCCAGGTGTCTGGGAAGTTATGGTACCTCAAGCGTTTTCGCATGTCCAAGTTCTTGAGTGGTACCCCACCAAACAACAACCTGTTTTTTCATTTAGGATATTGTTCACTAAAACTCTTTCCCTTTGCATACATAGCTAGTGTATGGCCTCAAGAGCATCATGGCTTGTGCTTAGATCCAAAATCCAAGTGGTTGAGAAGTTATAGTATGTCAACTATTGTCCCTTGACTCAACACTTGAGCATTGCCCAGCAAAACCTCAACTTTTCATCTTGTTTTTCAGATACAAAGGAATTTCTATGACGTTGTTTTGAATTGACAGTTAGTGCATGGGCTCAAGATAATTGTGGCTTGTGCTCATATCCAAAACCTAAGTGTGGAAAAGTTATGTTATTGTATGTGTTCCTTTTTCTAGTACTTGAGCATATTCCTACGAGACCTCAACTTGGTTATCTTGCTATTGAGCGTGCTCAAACATCTTGATTTTTGCATGCATGGTTAGTGTATGGGCTCAAGAGCATGGTGGTTTGTTCTTGGATGCAAAACCCAGGTCTGTGAGAAGTTATGGTATCTCAAGCATTTTCGCATGTCCAAGTTTGTGAGGGGCACCCCACCAAACAACAACCTGTTTTTTCATTTAGGATCTTGTTCACTAAAACTCTTTCCCTTGGCATACATTGCTAGTGTTCGGCCTGAAGAGCATCATGGCTTGTGCTCAGATAAAAAATCCAAGTGGTTGGGATGTTAGAGTATGTAAATTATTGTCCCATGTCTCTATTGTTGGGTTCTGAACCCCACTCACCCGTCTCACCTCAATGGCTGGGTTCTGAACCCCACTCACCCATGTCACCTCAATGGTTGGGTTCTGAACCCCACTTTCCCATCTCACCTCTACTGTTGGATCTTAAGCCCCATTCATTTGTCTCACCTCTTCAGTTGGGTTGTGAACCCCACCCTCTTGTCTCACCTCTGCAGTTGGGTTCATATCCCCACATATCCGTCTCACCTCAATACTTGGGTTCTGAACCCCACTCACTCGTCTCACCGCTACAGTTGGGTTCTGAACCCCACTCACCCGTCTCACCTCAATAGTTGGGTTTTGAACCCTGCTAACTTGTCTGACCTCTTCTTTTGGGTTCTTAACCCCACTCACCCGACTCACTTCTGCAGTTGGGTTCTGAACCCCACTCACCCTTCTCACCTCTGCAGTTGGGATCTGAACCCCACTCACCCGTCTCACCTGTCCAGTTGGGTTCTGAACCTTACTAACCCGTCTCACCTCCACAGTTGGGTTCTGAACACCACTAACCCGTCTCACCTCTACTGTTGTGTTTTGAACCCCACTCACCCGTCTCACCTCTATAGTTGGCTTCTGAACCCCACCCACTCGTCTCACCTCTATAGTTGGGTTTTGAAACCCACTCACTTGTCTCACCCCTCTTGTTGGGTCCTGAACCCCACTCACCCGTCTCACCTCAAAAATTCTGATCTGAACCCCGGAAATCATCTCACCTCTGCTGTTGTGTTCTGAACCCCTCTCACTGTTTCAGTTCTACAGTTGGGTTCTGAACCCCACTCACCCAACTCACCTCTGCAGTTGGGTTCTGAACCCCACTTACCTGTCTCACCTCTCCAGTTGGTATCTGAACCCCACTCACCCATCTCACCTCTACTATTGGGTGGTGAACTCCACTCATCCGTCTCACCCCTACAGATGGCTTCTGAACCCCATCCACTCGTCTCTCCTCCCCTGTTGGGTTCAGAACTTCACTCACCTGTCTCACCTCTACTATTGGGTTCTGAATTCCACTCACGCGTCTCACCTCTACAGTTGGGTTCTGAACCCCACTAACCCGTCTCACCTCTACAGTTGGGTTCTGAACCCCACTCACCCATCTCACCTCTACAGATGGCTTCCAAACCCCACTCACCCAACTCACCTCTGCAGTTGGGTTCTGAACCCCACTCACCCGTCTCACCTCTCCAGTTGGGTTCTCAACCCCACTCACCCGTCTCACCTCTTCTATTGGGTTCTCAACTCCACTCACCCGTCTCTACACTTGGGTTCCAAACCCCACCCACCCATTTAATTTCGGCAGTTGGGTTCTTAACCGTACTTACCCGCCTCACCTCTATAGTTGGGTTCTGAACCCAACTAACCTGTCTCACCTCTGCTGTTGGGTGTTGAACCCCACTCATCCATCTCACTTCAATAGTTGGATTCTGAACCCCACTCACCCGACTCACATCTGCAGATGGGTTCTGAATCCCCCTCACCCGTCTCACCTCTGCAGTTGGGTTATGAACCTTACTAAACCGTCTCATCTCTCCGGTTGGGTTCTGAACCCCACTAACCCGTCACACCTCTACTGTTGGGATTTTAACCCCACTCACCCGTCTCAACTATACAACTGGGTTCGGAACCCCACCCACTCGTCTCACCTCTACGGTTGGGTTCTGAACCCCACTCACCTGTCTCAACTCTCGAGTTGGGTCCTGAACCTCACTCACCCGTCTCACCCCAAAAGTTGGGTTATGAACTCCAGTAACCCGTCTCACCTCTACAGTTGGGTTCTGAACCCCACTCACCCATCTCAGTTCTGCAGTTGGGTTGGGAACCCTACTCACCCAACTCAACTCTCAAGTTAAGTTCTGAACCCCACTCACCCGTCTCAGTTCAGCAGTTGGGTTGTGAACCCTACTCACCCAACTCACCTCTCCAGGTGGGGTCTTAACCCCACCATCCCCTCTAACCTCTACTGTAGGGTTCTAAACCCCACTAACATGTCTCACGTCTACAGTTTGGTTCTGAACATCACTCACCCGTCTCACCTCACCAGTTGGGTTCTGAACCCCACTCACCCGTCTACCCTCAATAGTTGGGTTCTAACCCCACTCACTCGTCTACCCTCAATTGTTGTGTTCTTAACCCCACTGACCCGTCTCACCTCAACTGTTGGGTTCTGAACCCCACTCACCCGTCTACCCTCAATAGTTGTGTTCTAAACCCCACTAACCCGTCTCACCTCAACTGTTGGATCCTGAACCCCACTTACCCGTCTCACCTCTGCAGTTGGGTTTTGAACACCACCCACCCTTCTCACCTCTCAAGTTGGGTTTTGAACCCCACTCATCTCACCACTGTAGTTGGGTTATGAACCCCACTCACCCGCCTCATCTGTGCTGTTGGATTCTGAACCCCACTCACCCGTCGCAGCTCTGCTGTTGGGTTCTGAACCCCACTCACCCGTCTACCCTCAATAGTTGGGTTCTGAACCCCAATCACTAGTCTACCCTCACTAGTTGGGTTCTAAACCCCATTAACCCGTCTCACTTCAACAGTTGGGTTATGAACCCCACTCAAGTTTCTCACCTCAACAGTTGGGTTTTAAACCCCACTCACCCGTCTCACCTTAGCAGTTCGGTTCTGATCCCCAATCACCCATCTCACTTGTCCAGTTGGGTTCGTAACCCCACTCACCCGTCTCACCTTTGCACTCCGGGTTTAGGGTTTCGGGTTCTAAACCAGAGTTTAGGGTTCAAAACCCTAAACCTAAACACTAAACCGTAAACCCAAAACCATGGGTTCTGAACCCCACTCACCCGTCTCACCTCTACAGCTGGGTTCTGAACCCCTCTAACCCTTCTCATCCCTTTAGTTGGGTTCTAATCCCCACTCACTTGTCTAACCTCTACAATTGGATTCTGAACCCCACATACCCATCTCACCTCTACAGTTGGGTTTTGAACCCCAGTAACCTGTCTCACCTCTTTAGTTGGGTTCTGAACCCCACTCACGCGTCTCACCACTTCAGTTGGGTTCTAATCCCCACTCACTTGTCCCTCCTCTATAGTTGGATTCTGAACCCCACTCACCCATCTCACCTCTACAGTTAGGTTCTGAACCCCACTAACTCATCTCACCTCTACTGTTGGGTTCTGAACCCCACTCACCCGTCTCACCTCTCTAGTTGGGTTCTGAACCACACTCACCCGTCTCACCTCTGCAATTGGGTTCTGAACCCCACTCACCCGTCTCACCTCTACAGTTGGGTTCTGAAACCCACTATCCCGTCTCACCTCAGCAGTTGGGTTCTCAAACCCACTAACCCGTCTCACCACTACTGTTGGGTACTGAACCCCACTCATCGGTCTCACCTCTGCAATTGGGTTCTGAACCCCAATCACCCGTCTCACCTCTACAGTTGGGTTCTGAAACGCACTAGCCCAACTCACCTCAGCAGTTGGGTTCTAGACAAAAGTGCACCAGACGAAAGTTCTCGAGACGAAAGTGCACCAGATGAATGTGCACCAGATGAAGTGCTTCGGACGAAGTGCTCCAAATGAAGTGCTCCAGACGAAGTGCAGCAGACGATGCGCACTAGACGAAAGTGATTCAGACGAAAGAAATTTAGACTAAAGTGCACCAGACG